TATATTGCAATACACATTGATGTATTTAAATCCCACGTAAGGAAACCTACAAGCTTTGTTCCCCCAAGAAAAACTTAAGAGGTTGCTTTCTTTTTGGTACCAGGGATCAAACTCTGAACCTTGCACTTGCTAGGCAGGCGTTTAAGCTGGTGAGCTACCTCCCCAGAAAGGTTGTTTTCTTAATGTGCTGTGTTGAAGTGTTTCTAAACCACATGTTGATTGCTGTTTTCCACTTTGTCTTCTGGTAGTAGTCTTGGTATTATTTTTTTGTGCAGATGAAGGCAGTGAAGTGGAAAGTGAAATGGATGAAGAATTGGATGACTCTTCTGAGCCTCAAGCCAAAAGAGAGAAAACAGAGCTGAGCCAGGCGTTCCCCGTGGGCTGCATGCAGCCTGTTCTCGAGACTGGGGTGCAGCCAAGCCTCCTGAACCCGATCCACAGTGAGCACATCGTCTCGAGTACTCAGACTATCAGACAGTGCAGCGCAACAGGAAACACCTACACTGCAGTCTAAAGGATATGAAAGTGTATTTTCCAGCTTACATTAAACCTGTTGATATTGGGCTTAAGTTGAAAATTTAATAAGCCTGAAGGTCGACTGTTGTCAAATTTTATATGTGCTGAACATTACCTTTTTGGAGTTGTGAAATGGAATGGGTGTATGTATTTTTCCAGGTCCTGTTTTTTTTTTTTTTTTCTTTCCTTCTTCTTAACATAAACAAATTATTTGCCTCTGAATAATAAGAGTTTTTTCCCCTTAGTTTCAGGTGTCAAGATGGATTTTTAAACACTTAATATCACTGTTTTTGTTTTCTTATAATTAAAAAGTAATTTACATTTTGTAGCTTAAAATATTTTATTGTTGATTGTTAGTCTTGGTGTATGATTTCATGTGTTTTTTAATTAGATGCACTTCTGTGAAATCTCAAAAGAAATGAATTTCTTTGATTTACACTGGAGGCATGCCTGTTCGGCAGCAGATGCATCAACTTTGCCTTTGAAAGGTGCTTTTCATTGGGCAGAACCATAAGACACTATTTTGATAACATTTTGGAGTACCAAGAGAATACAGAGCATTTTTATTATAGTGCTAGAGGGTTGGGAAGGTCGTCTATTTTTCTCTGAAAAAAATCTGAGCTGTGTATTTATCAGTTCAGAGTAAATGATGGAATTGCAAGAGATTATGCTAATATGTACATAATTTGTGTACATAATTATTAATCACGTTAACAATACAAGCTTTCCGTTAGGCATTGAATTGTAATGATTATTTGCATCCCAATTCCTCTGTGTAAGACTACTGATTCTGTATTTGGGACCACACAGCTCAGATGCATTCTGCTGTTGAGTGGGGCAATTATAGTTAGATAACTAAACTGAAAACATGACTTGACTTTTTTTTTTAAGTGTACATGCTACTTATGCTGAGCTGGACATACAGGAAACCATTCCATTTGGATGACTTTCTTTTATTCCAGGTCTTTTTTTCTAATAGTAGTTCAATATGCTGCTATTATAAAAGAAAATTTATAGAATGCAAGGAATGTAGCAACCTGCATATCGTTATTTCCTTCAAAAATATTTCCTGGTTTCTAAAGTATGTGGATTTAAAATTTAAACAGAACCTGAAGGCAGTGTAACTGGCACACCTCACTGTTACTTATCCCCAATTCGTAGGATTTGGATAGGTGGCTGGACAGACCATTGCCATTGAAGAATGTACATCAGGGATCATCGTACCTCGGCTATTACATGGTGCCTTAACACAGAACTGAAGCTAAGGTTTAGTAAGGTTTATTTTGTTCATGTGAATAACTCCTCAACCCATTTGACAAAGTGTGCCTGTCATTTTTAGATTCCTGACGTAAGGACAGGTTACATGTTCTTCAAAGGAAGTTTAGGGAAAATGAAGCAAAACAGACAAAACTCAGATTCCCTCTTGAGTGACCACGAACCTATTTTTTATTATTAGAGCTGAATATTACTTGACTATAAATCTGATTGCTTAAGGGTATGGAAGGCAGGCTAGTTTTAATACTAACTTGTTACATAAAATCCTATATTTTAGATCATTGTTCCCTAGTTACAATTCTAGAAAGTTAACAAAATAAGCAGGTACTTATTGAAGTGCATCTTTTCAGTCTAAATGTTTGTCCGTGTGTCTGGGTGTCTGTGTCCATATTCACACACAAGTTCCTGTAGGGCGGGAGTCTTCTACAAAGTCAGAAGGTGAGATCCTAGAGGGCATACACCCATCCTCATTTTAAATTGCCTCAAAATCAAGCTGTTCTTTCAAGCACTCAAATTATTAACATGGAAAAGGCACATCCTTTTATTTAAATAATTTGTAAAAATGAAACAGCAAAAATCAATCATTAAAGCCAAAAAGGAGAAAAGCACAAAGTGATTTACAGATTACTAATTAGACTATATTGAATTCAAAATATGTTCTAGGTGTTTGGGGGTAAGGGAATGGGGTTAGGAAAAAAAAAAGGATGAGCCCATCTGTAAAGTTAAAAATACCAAATGGTTTATCAATTACATACAACGTATTTTTTTAATTTTTGAGACAGAGTCTCGCTATGTAGTCCAGGCTGGCCTTGAGCTCTCTATCTAGCACAGGCTGCCCTTGAACTCATGGTGATCCTCCTGCCTCAGCTTCCCAAGTGCTGCTGGGATTACAGGCATGTGCCATTGTGCCTGGCTCATACAGTGTATTGAACTGTTGTTAGTTGGTGGCCTAACACTCTTGATCAACAGCATTTCTCAAGTAAAATTTGAATGTTTTAATTATAATTTTTAAATTGACTCAGATTTTGTATTGTATAACTTACTGATATATAGCATCCCAGCATCACTTCATCTAAATATTTAGCTATCATCCCCATTCATCCTCCCAAAAAGGCACTGAATTTGCTTCACTCACGCACGGAGGGAAAAAAAAAATCATCAAGTGCAAAGACCATGTATCTAATTCATTGTGCGTGGGGAAATGTTTACAGATAAAATTAAAATCAAATACAGGAAAATCCCTCTTCATTTTGGCTCTCCTTTCTGAGTTTTTTCAGTGTCCTGTCTCTGCCTCTCCCCCCCAGGACTATATTGGACCAAATGTATTTAGTGTTTTCATCTTGTTTGATGAAAGACTTTAAATATATTTATTATCACTGTTTAATTTAATGTTGGATATATTTGTTTCATTAGAGGAATTTGATAATAATGGACAAGTTTAAATCACGAGAGTGAAACATCGGGGGCCCTCCAGGGTTCAGCATTTCTTCCAGTTGTTCATGGTTTGTTCTGTTAGGACATACTAGATAATACTGAGTGTTATTATGTTTGAAATGAACTCAAAAAACATTCTTCTCATTCTTAGAAATACTTAGGACTATTGATTCTTTGTGGCTGGTGTAATGGTGACCAGTGCACGACCAGTAGTGGTACCTGATGCTCCTTCCAGTTATTTACAGTCCACAAGAAGACACACACACTTTTAATTTGAAGTGCAGAATATTTTTAAAGTAAAAATAATATAGTGGAGCAAACTGGAACAATCACATTTGTTTTAGCTACTGAAAAAAAATTCCTTTGGTACTGAGGATTGAACTCTTTTGCTAGGCTGCATCCCCAGGCTTTTTCTATTTTCGAGACAGGATCTTGCTAACATGCCAAGTTGCCCAGGTTGGAGTTTAACTTACGATCCTTCAGCCTCAGCCTCTCAGAGTACTGGGATTACAGGCATGTGCCACCATATCCAGCTAGGTATTTAACATTTCACTTTTTTTTTCCATTTATTGAAACTGACTTTCTAAATAATACTAGCCGCTAATGCCCTCATAGTAGATTTATTGACAAGTGACAAAAACACATATTTGAAGGATGTCTTGGTATTTCTTGGCACTGTAATTAAACACTAGATGTGACATATGTCTATGTAAACCCAGTGCTACTCTTTTCAGTGAGGACAAAATGCAAGAAGGGTACTCTGACCATTTTTAAGTTTCAGAAGAGATGCTCCATATGCTAGGATTGAATATTGGCATAGTTTGATCTTAACATACAGATTGCGAATCGTACCTTAAAGATTGGCACTTACAAAACCAGTGAACAATAGGGTGGAATGGGTAAGCTGTCTCCTGGGAACACAGGGCCCGACTTTCTATTTTTTCTTTGGATGTGAAGTTGCTGAGCACTTTTCAGGATTTTCACCCAAACTGTTTGGACTGACTGTATACGTCTTACTGCCTTTTCAGAAATCTGCTTTGCTGTTTGTGCTTTTTCTTGTACTGTATAGCACGGTTCATGCACCTCTCTCTAGATGGTGTACTTTAAAAACAACAGTAAAATTTCAAAAATGGTTTTATCACTGCATACCTAAAATTAGTAGTGTTCAACATGGACTGCCTATGAGTTGTAGTAGACAAGTAAAACTGAACATATATTTGTAGAATGCTGTAAAAGTCATTCAGGAATGAATGCAGTATCAATACCATAATCATGAAACGTTTTTTTTTTACAGGAATGCACTGTCTAGAAATGCTTAATGCATTTTCAGATTTAAAAAAAAATAACTCAGATGATATATTTGAAATGTCTAAAGGAATGCTGTGCTTGAAACATTAATGTAAAAGAAAAAAATGTGTGTCACTGTGATGTCAGTCCACCCTGTGTGGACACAGGAGAAAGTTAAAGACCTTGGCAAGTCACCTTGTATACAATGTGAGGCAGTGGTTATAGACAATAAATTGAATTTGTTATAACCTCTCACCCCACCCTTTTGAGAAGATACCATCCATCCAAAAATTAAAATCATGGCTTTTGTAATCTATCTGAGTCACGCCAGAACCTGGGAGAGGAGGGCTGGCATGCAGTGCTATTGAAAATTGGGCTTGTGTCTAAAGCAGATCAACCTCCATGTATATGGTTAGAACAAATCAATTAATGGAATCCTAGTATTTCTGCAAGTTTGGTGATTTTAAAAACTGGAATAGAAGCATTAATTCAGTGCTTAGTTCTAGTGTTAGAAAACCCCTTTGCTGTAATGCCTTGTATTAACCCTTTGAGCATTGTAAGATACACAATGGGGGGGGGCAAAGCCTTTCAGATCATTTATTTAGACTTAGACTGGTAAAATATACTCTATATCCAAATGTCTAATTATGCTGTTTTTTTAAAAGGGGGGGTAGCAAGAAAGTGTTCCCACGTGGAACACTTGCATTTTATATACGACTCTTAATTTTCCTTCAAGAGGGCTTGATATATATATATTCCCAAATATTCACTGCCATCTAAGTGTACTGTTTACAGATTAAAAAAAAAATCAACTTTTCTAGCATCACATCATGACTCTGTAGAAAAGGAGGACAAGTACATGGGCTTTTGTGGACCTATGTCATAACTGATTTCTGCACATTGAAGGTATCTAGATTGCCTTTAAAAGGTATGATTTTAAAGGGGGGGGGTAGTTAGGTTTCTTCTTTTTTCCCAAAACAAATGATCTCATTTATTTAGCTTTAGAAACTTCAATGTAAGTAAAGCCTTAGGAAGAAACAAGTTCAAGTGAATATAGAGACTGAACTCTTTGGGGCCAGTTAGGCCATTTAGAGTTACATTGCTCATAAGATATTGTTTGGGAATTCATACAGGGCATAATTTTATCTATGCTCCAATACTTTAATACTTTGTCAGAAAATTATATATATATAGATATGAATGGAGAGCAAAGCACTTGATTTTAAGCTCATCTGTCATGAGATGCTGTGACTACTGCTTCAGATATCTCTCTAAAGGACAGGCTGCTCACACCATCACTGGCTTTGTCCCAGGGAGTCTCAGTGCACTCGATTCCCTTTGTTTCCTGCGTGACTGAATGTGAAAGCAGTGTTGTTCACAGCTGTGCTTGCGCTTCCCTCGCTGGGCGCACAGGAGAGTGTAACCCATTCTTACGTGTGGTCACGGGACATCATAGCATAGTACGAGTATGCCGTCAGCGTTGCTTTTTAAGGCAGTTTAGGAAGTCAAACATACAAATTACTCATGTGTTAACATGCAATACTCAAAGGGTTTTAATTTAACTCTCTTCTTTTGAATTCTTCATGATGATTTACTGTAAATGCTTCTCAGTTTGCATGCCTTGATCATTGCTGCTAGTGATTTTATGTGCCAGTAGATCTAACTTTAGTTTACCAATTTTACTTAAATAGTAAAAGCCACTTACAAAGTGACTGCCTAGGATTATTTTTCCCTTTTGTTTAAAGTAATTAGTAATATGTCTTTTAAAAAAAATGTATTTGTCTTTTATTTGGTTCCAGTATTTGATTTTTTTTCTTTTTTCCTTTGTTTTTTAAATAAATTATGATGTTGGGATTGGAAGCCCTGAGTAATGAAATATTTGGTAAGAATTGTTTATGTAACCAAACCTTTATTAGAAGACTTTTGAATCAGGGAAGAAAAGAAAAACGCATTGATTGTTGATAACCAAGCAAATTTTTCTTTCAATAAATTAGTAAGTGACTGCTTTGTTTTAACCTGCTAAACACAATTTTAAATGACCCAATTAAGAAGGTATTGAATTTTATTCGTTTAAAAGCATCTTTTGTACCAAAGCAAATTTTTTTCTCTACTCATCTCTATCATCAATTTGGACCTACGGTGGTGACCAACGTGTTGGTTACAGAAACTTTTAAGTGAGTGCCTTGAGAAAACTAGGAAATTTGTGCCTGAGGTGGTAAACTTTTAATTAGGTTAATTGTAGTGCTTACCAATCAGTAATTCTACTATCACTCAGGGCTTTCGTACCTTCTAGGTAAAACTCCTTTCATTGTGTTTTTTTAAGATACTGTATTTTTTTTAAGTGCCATCATTTAAATTTCACTTAGTAAGTGGCAGATTACATTATTCAGTCCCACAAGCACAGAAACATAGTAACACTAGGAGATATTTGAACATTTATTTTACAACCGACTGAATATATTATGTAAATGAGGTAAGCAACTTTTGTAGAGATTGTATGTGTGAGATAATGTAATGTTTCTTTCCAGTTTTTGGACTACAGTTGAATAAACTTTTTAATTATTTAAAAACACCTTTACCGAATAACATGTGATGGTTTTTTTGTATAATGTATTTGATTTTGTAAATACGTATTTCCTGATGTGATTTTTGTGAGAAATGCTAAATCTTTTAGTATATCATGTCCTCTCAAAATTGGCAGGAGCTAAATAATAGTTTGTGGGCGATTTGTATTGTGTACTGTACAATAACTGGGGAACTTTTATAATTATAAAAATATATATTAACTTTTAGTGTGTTGTTTAAACAAATGACTGGAACATACTAAAGATATTAGTAGGATTTTTCTGAATATTTCAGACTTGAACTCAGGCTAGCTTTCTTGTGTTTTTCAAAACAAAATGGTGTCTTGTCTTTTAAAATCAATAAATTTGTTTCCTTGTTACAAAACCCATTTGAAATGGCTTGTTTTTCCCCCTCTCAAATCATTGTCACGAAGCTTTATTACAATACTTCACATAGAGTATAGTGTCTATGTCATTCATTAGCTTAGAAACAAGATTAAGTTGTTTTCCTTTTTGTGTG